TTCATCTTTGACACATCCCAATAAACTTTGACCTAGGGTTTGACACTATCTCATCCAAGAATGACAATGCCTAACTTCGACGACAAGACACCCCCAGTTTTGATGATCATCCCATCATGCTCTACAACGCATCCCCCCACCAATGAGCATGCTTCATTGAGCATGCTGCTTATCCCGCGATACAAAACGCTTCTGCTTATCGATATCATCATCCGATTGATCTTCGAAGGATGCTCAGTGAGTGCTATCAGTAATAAGGTAATCATCAGAGGGCGGCTTGTAGAGACCTCTATTAGAAGGATCGGTAGATAACACCATCTAATTCCCTATCGTCGGCTTTTTACCTTGTGACGATTCACCACAACCATCAATGTTAATAGATGGATACATTCACACTCACCAAACGCAAGAAGAAGAAAAAGGAGAAGACTTGAGTTGAGAAAGGATGATTGATGGTGACCATAGGATATATCTAACGACCACCATAACCTCATCTCAACGACTACTCACAAAGTAGTAACAGGAACTAATGAGGAACGAGAAGGCTACACACAGGAAATAGTATCGACATCTTCATAATACACGTAGTAATCACCCTTTAGTGGTGTTGTTATTAACATATCTAAATAACAACAAGATGGAGAAGCAAGCCGATAATGATGATGATGATCATAGAGTTGTTGTTCTTGTTAGAGTGTAGATATGTTGTTGTTTCATTGCCCGCTACCGCTGCCGTTGGTGGTACCAAGAGAGGGCGGAGCGACGACGACAATCTCTTCCGTATTCAACTGTGATTGACTATAATCACCATCATCATTATTATTCTCTTCTTCCTCTGGTATGGTAGACTCTGGTACTTGTTCATCCTCAGGTACCTCTCCAGTCCATACCGTAAACCAATCAACATCTGGTGATGGTGGGCATGGTGGTATATCTCTAATCTCATCTTCACGTACACCTGAATAGTATTAATAATACCTCCTTAACATCATCACCACTATTATACTTACGTATCTTGATACCCTTCCTAATATGAGAGTATACTAATAGATTCTGTAGTAATGCACCAACACGGAATATTAATGATGATAAACGATACCATGGGAAGGTAATACAAGCACAGAACGAGGAACGAAGATCATGCCGATCCCTTAATATGACTATCTCAAATAGGACTACCATAACGTATCTGATAATAATATTATAAGGATACAGAGGATTACATTATTACATAAGGCCTGTGAATATAACAAACATAAATAGGAAACTAACCCAATCACGTATTATAAGGCCACATAATAGGAATATACGTAGCCAATCTAATACGATCGTTAGTAACTGATGATGAAAAACAACAATAACACGACTACAGGATTATGTGTGTGGTAATATTACCTCCTGTAGGAAGTATGGTTTCAATACCCAACTGGCGAGATGACACCAACCTCTAGGATTAATAATCTCCCATATATAGGTAAAACTCTTCTTATGAGATGTCACATCCCAAGACTTAACCCGTTGTCTAAATAGCATACCCCAATTATCTGGTGCATAGGTTGGTACAATAGCCTGAGCTGATGATATAATCTTAGAGTCATCTCTCTTCCTCAATAATGATAGACCCATATACATATCCTCACCATTAAATACAGTATCATGCTCATAGAATATCTCATCAAGTGTTTCCCTATCCCATAAGGCTACTGCACCATGACAACTTAATGAACGAGCAAGAGTAGCCTGGAATAGTTTATGGAGACCAGCAATCTTATACTCAATATCCTGGCATTGTACCAATAGATTAGGTTTACCATCAGGTGTAGTAGCAGTAATAGGGAAATGTACAGCCTTAATATTGGGGTTCTGATCCAATAACTGATGTGGTATATGTAGATCTGGTGGTAGAGGTACATCATCATCAATAATAACAGCATATTTGAAGTCGGTTACTCTACCATTTTGGACAAGATAAGGTATCCAATATTTATTACACCAATAAAAGGCAAATGTCTTATTACCCTCAGGTACATATAAATAGTTAATATCAGGATGTACCTGTTGAGTAGCCCATTGATTATCATCTACAGGTATTGGTGATACACCATTATCACATACAAATATATGACTAGGTGGGAATACCATTAATGCTGCCCTTAATGTAGCAGTAAAGGTCTCATATCTTTCCTCAGTCATAGTAGATTGATGACATGCTATCATTAGGCATACTTCCCT